ACACACACACACACACACACACACACAGGAACAATATACTGTACAACACATATTTTTATTGTAAATCTGTCAAACAATTAGAAAAAAACAGTTTGTTTTTATGTTTTTTGTGGTTTCTCCTATAAAAATTGTCACACTTTAAATTGTTTTTGCAGCAGACACAGAGCATGTGTGCTGACACGTTCGTGTAAATCTAAATAATAAATGACATCATTAATGACTCAGCATTTTTCTTCTGACTTGACAGATTCTAAAAGTCACTGTAAACAAAGACAAAAACAAAAGAATGTTGTATTCTAACCAAAACAAGATAAATCAAACCTGCATTTTTTTATTCATGAGCACCTTGTTACATTTTTCACACAAACGACACGTTCTGCACAGAACAACTGGATTTATTTATTATTCTCCAAACAATAAGACCTGCAGTTTATTGATGCTTCCTGCAGAACTTGGTGAAAACTTTGGTTTTTCTTCTGAATTCACATTTTGTGTTGATTTAAGTTGTTTTTTTTTAAAAACCTGAACAATAAATAAATAACGAGACGATCTGATCGAGTCTGGTGAAGAAAAACAAAATGTTTTCTGTACAGAAGCTGACAACAAAAACAAAACAACATCAGGAATGAATATCACCCACTCACGTTACGTATGACCATCAGCTACTACCACAGCAGCATTCAGCTCCAAAATGACATCAAGTCACCGTCAAGTCATTTTATGTTTGCTAAGGTCAGTTAGCTGCGGCGGCCATCTTGAATCATTGATTCAAATCAGTCCTCTTTTAGATATTTTGCTAACAGACAGACAGTTTATAAATAACAACAACAATGAAGGAAGTAACTCTGAGTGTTTTTCCACACCTGAAACAAACTTGTCAGGTCTGAGTTCTGTCCTGGTGCAGGATGATACGACGCAGGATTAGAGTCACACAACAAGATTATTATTTTATTARYAGAYTAAAGTCGTAATATTTTAAGATTAAAGTCATAATACTACGACTTCATTCTTGTAATTAAAATAAAATGTCCAATCTTGTTGTGTGACCCTACTCACTCATAGGACGAAGACTGGATCTTAAATTAATGAGATTTAGTCTTGTTCTGAACGAAAACTGAGTCCTGGACTCTGGATCTGGAACAGTTTTTGGACATGTTTCTTTAAATAAATCGTGGTTCTGCTTCACGCGTCGCTCTCATAGAAGATCTTTGTTCCTGAAGCAGAGCCGGTCTTTTCCTCCTCACCAGCGTGAAGCAACAGCTCGTTTCCTCCACCGTCACTGGACAGCACTGCTCCTGCCTCTTCCTCAGACYGTCCTAAAACCTTCCTGCTGCCGGACGCCACAGCCGGGTCAGACTCCGGGTTTGCGGTGTCGTCTGCGAACATCCTGCAGTTGAGGATGAGCGGCGGCAGGGGGATGCTGCGGGCCAGCTCCTCGATGTGCCGGGCCAGCTCCATGGTCTTGAACTGRGTGACCCGGGCGAACTCRACCGTCTTGGCCGAGGTGACGATGGGGATGTGCTTGGCCACTTCGAAGGCCCGCTGCAGCTTCTCGGCGCCCTCGGTGAGGAAGAACTCGTTGATGGCCCGCTCCATCTCCTTCAGGTGGCTGTTGACCATGCAGAGGCGCGCCACGTTAAGGATGATGGTGATGGTGAAGGCCACCAGGCACACGATGACGAAGTACAGCCCCAGGCCGCTGTGGGTGTACGCCACGCGCACCGTCACCGTGTAGTTCCCCGCCGGGCCGGCGCCGCTGGACGCCACGCAGGTGTACCGACCGCGGTCCTCGAAGGAAACCGCCGTGATGTTCAGGTCACCATTCTCATGGATCTGCCACTTTCCTCCTCAAGACCAAATGTAAAGCTAATTAACTTTTCAAAATAAAACACCTGGAACAACAGCATCGACAGTTTCCAAAGGAAAACATGCTGAGATGAAACGTTTACCTGCACCACCTGCCACCAGGGGTCCTTTAGTGTTAAACCACCTGACCTCGTCCGGCTCTCCGGTCACGTTGCACTCTATCAGCGTGTTGGACCCCTCCTTCACCACCACGGACCTGCTGGAGGGCAGAGCATCCAGCTGCAGGAGGGAAACAGCTTCTGATTGGTTGTGAGCTCCAGAGCAGCGGGCCAACAGCAGCATGGTGACGATCAGAGACYGGTGCATCTTCTCTCCTTACATTCAGAGCAGACGGACCTGCAGAACAGGAAGAGTTAGACGCTCTGACCTCTCACCTGTATCTGCTGGATCTGTAACATCCATCCCCACAAACAGCTCAGACTACTGAAGAAAATACAAACAGAAACTCTCTATCTGGAAATTCAAAGTTTCAAAAATAAAACAATATACCATAATAAATACAAGCCTTTATTTTAATGGTTTTTAACATATAAGTTCCTCATTATTCATTAAACTCCTCAAAGTATTAACTGTACAAGTAAAACATGTTCAGGAACAAAAGTGAAAACAACAGAAACTAACAAGTCAAACTCYGCCTGTAACTGCAGATAAAAACATTAACTATAAAAAAAACAGACATTTTAATCAGGATTCAGTTTGTTTCTGTCACAGGTTTAATGCTGAGTAAGCATCCTGAAATATCCCAGTGTTTGTCTTAAATATGCTCACCTGGTGCTGACAGAACAATCTTTAACATTAAACCTCAACACACGTCAAAATCAAACAGTTGTTGTGAATCGGAGAAGTTTCAGTGCGGAGTTATTAAAGTGTGCTCTGSTGTCTTCCTGGTTCAGGTGACTCAGTGGGCGGGGCTTGTTTATTATTACAAAACAAAAAGCTTTAAATATGAATGATAATAGGTTTAAACTGTATAATAAAAACAAATATAATGTCGTTTTATAATTGTGCTTATATTTATTATTTGTATTTTATCATAATTTTTGCAATGCTTGGAAAAAAGTTGAATTACAATAATAAATAAATAATATGAATTAAATGARTTATATTTGGTACAACGTAAAATAACTAAACTGCTGTTTTGTTAGACTTCATCTTTTTATTATTCATCGTCTTCTTTGTTTACTTCAAATGCATCTTATTTTGAAACTTCCGGAAGTGTCTTTTTCATTTTGATCAAGTGGCCGTAAGGAGATTTGAGTGAGTCTTTCAAAATAAATTTCAAACATGAGAAACGTACAGATTAAAAACATTTGAAATTCTTTTTAAGGGGTTTATTATCACATAAATTACAAAAACTTAAAATTATTATTATTTATTTCATGCTTAGTTCAAATAAAACCTTTAAAATATTTTTTAACATTAAAATTTTTAAGATTGTGTTTTATTTTGAAGGTTATAAACGGAACTGGTGCTTCCTGTGATTCACGCAGCTCAGCTTCAGCTACAACCTTTGTAAACAAAATGTGACGTGGCTAATCTTGTTGGACGAGAGAAGAAACAAGAAAACACGAAACATTTAGCTTCATATCAGAGACATTAAATATATTTAGTTACACAAGTATAAACTATAATAAAGAGTATAATTACTCTGTTCGGTTTCGGGACGGAAACAGGAAAAAGTAAGCTAACTGCTAACATCAAGACTTAAAGGTAAGTTTACAGAGAAGACTCTTAGGTTATAATGTCAGGTTATTTTGTTTTATCTGACTGTTAATTCTTGGTAAATTATCTGAACTTTACACTGATGTTAATCTCAGTTAAACTGTTTATATCAAAGTATATTTTAGTACTAAATAAAGACGCTGCAGATCATCAGAGTCAATCTGAGCTGCTGGTTTGTGTTACACGTGTGTGTTGTGTTTAGGACTTTGTACTTTCACGTAAACATACTGTGTAGGTGGAACATAAATACTCTATAGTACATTATATATGTATTTGAAACGTCATAGCTGTATTTTGTACCAGACTGCTCCCTCCATGTTGACAAATATGAGAAATGTCATTTCTAGCTCCATTGTGTCATCAGAGGCTTCAATCTGAATCAGTTTAAAGCTCTCAGTAGTCACAGTTTGTAGTAAAGTTATCAGACTAACAGTGATTTGGGGTCTGGTTCTGCAGGGATGCTGTGAGATGTCGAACAGCGAAGCCTCTCGAGCAGCAGCTGAAGGAAGGGAGGACGAGCTGAAAGGTGCTCCTCCTGCTGAGACACCGGACAGCTCCTCCCCGTCCTCGCCTGTCGTCTCCACCGACGTGTCCCCGACGAGGAAGGCCAGGAGGAAAACGGCAGCCGAAGCCGAGGAGAAGCCCAGAGAGGAGCAGCCGGCAAAGGTAGAGGACCCCCATGTGTGGGGAGAAAATGTTGGACAGCAGACTGAGAAAAAGACAATTTAGTGTGGAGAATAATCTGTTTTCTTTCCTCACCTGCTCTCGGACAGATGCCCAGCGAGTCCACTGTGTCTCAGGGTGGGTGGGGCTACTGGGGCAGCTGGGGCAAATCCATTCTGACCACAGCAACGACTACTGTGGCCACCGTGGGTGAGTGTTTATTACTGCAAGTCCTCTTTGTACAAAGCATTCCCCTGGTTTTAGCTCCTCGTGTGCTACAGAATAGATTTTAAATTAGACTAAAATAGACTTTTAATCCACTGTGAGGTATTTTATTATCTTCTGATGCTTTTAATTTTATTTATTTAAATGTTTGAGTTAAATGAAACCTGACTGTGTCCAGGCCAGGGGCTGACTCAGGTCATAGAGAAGGCAGAGACGTCTCTGGGAATCCCGAGRCCGACCGAGCTGTCGGCTCAGACTCCAGACGAGCAGGAGCAGGAGGGTGAGCCGTGCTGTTCGGTTGAAACAGCCTCCGTCGTTCATGTTTGTGTAAAACGTTCACGACTCCTCTCCTGCAGCGGAGTCCGGAGCGAGTCCAGAGTCCGGCGGTGAGTCGCAGCGAGCCGCGAGCAACGGGGCGTCGGCAGTGGGGAGCGCCATGGGGATGTTGTCGTCTCTCACCAGCGCCGTCCAGACCACGGTGAGGAGGCGTCACGGCGCCCGCTGTCCGGCAGCGACAGGATTAACAAACCTAACCTCTCCTCAGGGGAAGACGGTGATAACCGGAGGTCTGGACGCTCTGGAGTTCATCGGGAAGAAGACGATGGACGTGATCGCGGAGGGTGACCCGGGCTTTAAGAAGACCAAGGGTCTGATGAACAGGAACGCCACTCTGTCTCAGGTGGGCAACAAGTTTTCATCATCTGATCGTCCTGTTGGTCGCTTCCACTCAGGTGTCCCCGCTCTGTGGGTGCTTTAATTAACATTAAGATGTTAAAGCTTGTTTATCAAATGTTTGTTAAAACAAACTAAAACTAAGCATTAAAAATGCTATAATAACGTAATAAAAACTATCAAATACACTGTAAAAACTAAATAAAACTAACTGAACTAAAAGAAAAATGTCAGAACAAATCAAACTAACCTATAATGAAAAATCCAAACTATTCGAACCTTGGTCTACAGGAGCCTCAGGTGTGAATAAAAGCAGGTTTTGTTGGTTCCTCAGGTGCTGCGGGAGGCCAAGGAGCGCGAGGAGCTGCAGACGACAGACCAGGATTCCTCCGACTCGGAGAAGAAGGTGGTGGCACACTACGGGATGATGTTCGATGAGTTCCAGGGTCTGTCCCACCTGGAGGCTCTGGAGCTTCTGTCCAGAGAGAGTGAGCTGAAGGTGCAGTTCTTATCAGACACGCCTCCTGCCAGAGCTTCTGTGGCGCTAACGGATCAGACGTGTGTTCAGGTGAAGTCGGTGCTGACCACTCTGTCAGGAGACCAGCTGCTGGAGCTCAGGGACCAGCTGGACCGGATCAAAGACTCCTTCTCCATGGTGGAGTTTGACGAGGAGGAGGTGGACGAGAGCAAAGGTAAAGACGTCCTGATTCAAGTCAAACTCCTGGAACGTGTTGGATGAAAGGCTCGGGTGTTTTCTGGGTCCAGATGCAGACGGAGCAGAGTTTGAGAAGGAGCTAACAGAAGCCCTGGAAGGTCTGAGTGTTTCTGCCACGGCTGACAAACTCAACAAGGTGATGCACAAACAGGAAGTGGAGGCGCTCCCTGGGTTTTGTGCTCACAGTGTCCTGTCTGTCCTCCAACAGGCCTGCAGGGACACCTGCGCCACGCTCCGGGACATGAACGCACCTCAGAGCGATGAAGAGCTGAAGAAGACAAGTTCTGTAGAGGCYAGTGGACCTTCCAGAGGAAACATCCTGTAATCATCATGTTCTGTGGGTTTGTGACGGTRCTTCTCTCTGTGACGTCATCAGGAGGTTCACGCGGCGGCCATCAGGAGTCTGGCCCAGCTGACGGCCCGATCCATCGAGCTGTTCCACAAACTGGCTGAGATGATCCTGTTCTCCACCGGCAGCACCGAGGCCGCCGCCCTCTCCCAGTGAGGACAGACACACACTTCCTGTTCGGAGACGTCTTCCTGTCACATTAACTGTGTGTGTCTTCAGGATAACGGTGGTCCTGTGTAAAGAAATCTCCTTGCTGTCCAAGAAGTTCACTTCCTGTCTGACCACAGCGGGGGTAAAAACACAAACAGCTGCTCAGTTCTCCTCTGAGTTACATTAACAAACCAAACTAAATCATTTCTGCTGACGGTTAGTGTGTTTATGTTCTGAACACTTTGTTTTTGTTTATGTTTGTTGTTTGAATCTGTTTTCAGAGCACTGAGAAGGGAGACGTCCTGAACCCACTGATAACTGGAGTCTTTCTTGAGGTTTGTGCTTTTAAAACAGGAAGTTGTCCATAGCTCCACAGGAAGTTTAGTCAACAGGTGTTTAGTCAACAGGAAGTTCAGTCAACAGGTGTTTAGCCAACAGGAATTTTAGTCAACAGGTGTTTAGTCAACAGGAAGTTCAGTCAACAGGTGTTTAGCCAACAGGAATTTTAGTCAACAGGTGTTTAGTCAACAGGAAGTTCAGTCAACAGGTGTTTAGCCAACAGGAATTTTAGTCAACAGGTGTTTAGTCAACAGGAAGTTCAGTCAACAGGTGTTTAGTCAACAGGAAGTTTAGTCAACAGGAAGTTGTCCATAGCTCCACAGTTGTTTAGGACAAAAAAATGTCCTCAGATTTTTTTATTTTTAATAAACCCACCAAAGAACTCTACAGCTGTTCTTACCTGTTTGTCCAGGTGAACCACAGACGACACTGTCATCAGTGAAACTGACGTTAATAAATCTTTGTCTCTTTCAGGCGTCCAACAGTGCGTCTTACATCCAGGACGCCTTCCAGCTCCTCCTGCCCATCCTGGAGATCTCCCACATCCAGAGGAGGTCCGGGTCCTCGGAGCAGTGAGCAGGTGACCCCACCTGTGACCTCCTCTGCTGCTGCTGCCATGACGCCTGGAGTCAGACTCCCTGCTCATCGTTTTGTAACTTTTAAACAGCTTTTATGGACTTGTCCTGTGAGATGTAAAACAAGTATCATGAAGTGTGGAAGGAGAAGCAGGTTTGTGTCAGTGTTAATGTTTGTTTTATCTGTGAGGAGCTGTAGAGGATCTGTTAAATGTATCTGGACCTGCCAGCTTCTGAGACAAACACAGGAAATAAAACCAGGAACCAGCTCATTGTTTCATTTTTAACCTTTTTAACTCGCCTCAAACACCTGGTTGAAAAAAAACACTTTGATTTAATAATTCACAAAGAAATAAATCACCTGTTTGAACAAAACACATTAATTTTTACGTACAACTTGTTTTCTTTGCTTATTTTTCTAATGTGGAATAAAATGGGTTCTAAAAATGACACTAAGAATAAAACAATATGATAAATATTACGTGAAATATTTTGTATTTTTTTGGAAATTTGCTCTGAATGACCAAAAACTGAATAATTAAAGGAATGACATTCAGTTTTGCAACCATTTTATAATTGTTTAACAGCTGAGAACAGATTTATAAGTTGAGTATTTTTGGATCAGATMATATGATTTGCACTTCTTTTTTATCAATCACATTAAAAATGAGAAAATAGAAAGCAGTAGGAGAAAGAACGTGATTAAAACAGATAAAACTATTTCAAAAGTCAAAACTATAAACAAAGAATTATTAATGCAACGTAAAAAAAAWGATTATTTATGATTCAATTAATGTTTGAACAAGAGTACTCTGGGTTTAATAGGAGTTCAAATCATTTATCTTTACAGAAATACTAGAGCAAGATCTGCATTTATTTATTTATTTATTATTTATTTATTTATGCCATATTAGAAGAATTTATATGATTTAACTTAAGTTTAATTTATCAGTATTGTCCAAATGGGAAGTTCTGTCTGCAGTGACCCGGTGGTGTTTGTTTGAGTTGTAACACAACTTCCGGTGCAGCAGGGGGCGCTGCGGCCGCTGGAGGCGGCGAACAGCAGAAGGAACAACTACGGAAAAAGCTTTATTATCATTAGCCTGTCAGGGTCCACAGGGAAACTTTCAGGTAAAATCTGGAGTTTATTCTTTCCCCGCTCTTACGTTTGACTCGTTCTGCCAACCGGAGCTGAAATAAGACATGAATAAGTTAAAATCTGTGTGGATTTAATGAAGCCTTGGCTCGCGCGGCCGTAAATAAGTGTCGTGACAGCGCGAGGGTTAGCTTTGATGCTAACTAGCTTCCCGCTAGTTCCTGTCTCGTTTGTTGATGTTTGGATTCGGGCAGACACGAAATCTTTAATTTATCATCTTTAAATAACATTTTGCCACCTGTTCTTAAATGCATCCAGCTGTTAGTCAGGTGAAATGTTTATAATCTGTAGCTGATAAAATGTGTTCCTCGAGTTGTCGTGATAACAACAAAGACAAGATGTAAGACTATCCCGTCAGGACAGGTGTACTTTTATGTTTTACGTCTTGTTTTGTTGATAATTACACTAAAATTGTTTTAATAAAGATGAATGATTGWTTGTATGTTTAAATATTAAAGTGTACAAACTGGCATTAGTGTGTAAACAAAGCAAATTTAAGTAAACAACCTCACAGTGATAAATCCAGGAATATTCATGTTTATCTGGAACTGTTTTAATCTGAGAAATACTTAAGTCAGAAATTTACTTTTGATAATTACCTTAAGTACAAAAAATATCAGATACTTTAAGACTTTTACTCAAGTAATATTCCTAAAGGAGACTTGAACTTTTACCAGAGTAATTTTATGATATTTGTACTTTTACTCAAGTATCACTTTATACAACACTGTATTTGTGTGATTTACTCTCCTGCATCTTTCAATCTTGTTCCAGATTGTTTTTCCCCCCGCTGTGCTCCCCCCACCCCCCGCCTGACGCTGCAGGACTGTTGGGACTCCAGCTCCTCGCCCGACCCGCCAACATGCCGGCAGCACTTCAGGACTCCAGTCAGATCATCTGTGAYGTCTGGGCGAGCAACGTGGAGGAGGAGATGAGGAAGATCCGGCAGGTCATTCAGAGCTACAACTARGTGGCCATGGTAAGCAGCGCCGCAGCCGTGGTTCTGTTTTAGGCTTTAACACGTTCACACAGTGAGACGGTGCGTGGATGTCTCCCCCCCACAAGGACACGGAGTTCCCCGGGGTGGTGGTGCGACCGATCGGGGAGTTTCGCAGCACGGTGGACTACCAGTACCAGCTGCTCCGGTGCAACGTGGACCTRCTGAAGATCATCCAGCTGGGCCTGACGTTCATGAACGAGGACGGGGACTATCCTCCGAACACGACCACGTGGCAGTTCAACTTCAAGTTCAACCTGACGTAGGTGGAGCTCAGGGCTTGCTTCCACTCAGCCCACCTCACATAAAGTGGTGCCGGCAGTTGTTCAGGTTTGTTGTTCCTCCCCACAGAGAGGACATGTACTCGCAGGACTCCATAGACCTGCTGCAGAACTCGGGCCTGCAGTTTAAAAAACACGAAGAGGAAGGCATCGACACGCTTTACTTTGCTGAGCTCCTCATGACCTCGGGCCTGGTGCTGTGTGAAAACGTCAAGTGGCTCTCCTTCCACAGGTGTGTCAGGCTCAAAATCACCTTTTTGAAGAGTAAAGAGTGTTCAACACCTTTTCTATTAAACGTCAGAAATGATGATGAACTGAACCTCAAACCTGTTTTATTCTCCTGGTCTAAATGTAATCAGGACAGCTCTGGGTCTGTCAGAGCCAATATTTAAAGTGTTTTTCTTGTTTTCCCGCTCAGTGGCTACGACTTCGGCTACCTGGTGAAGCTCCTGACGGACGCTCGGCTTCCTGAAGAGGAGCACGACTTCTTTCAGATCCTCAACCTGTTCTTTCCTGCCATCTACGACGTCAAATACTTGATGAAGAGTTGTAAGAGTTTAAAGGTGTGCTGCAAGGAATCGCACACGGTCCTGGAGTTAAACATGAGTTATTAACCAGCGGTGTGTTTGTGTGTGTGTGTGTGTGCAGGGTGGGCTGCAGGAAGTAGCGGACCAGCTGGAGTTGAAGCGGATCGGACGGCAGCATCAGGCTGGATCAGACTCGTTGCTCACAGGGATGGCTTTCTTCAGGATGAAAGAGGTGCGTAAAGATTCACACCTGTGCTTCATTTTCATTTTCTTRTTTATTTTAAACTGTTTTGAACCATTAATGTTTATTATAACTAGAGACCAGACCAGCAGCTGCAAGATGAAGCCACAAAAGACAAGAGCCCCCTCACAGCACAGCCATTAAGCCCRGCCCCTCCACGTAAAGGAATGGATCATTTTCCAGACTAAAAAAAAATAAAAATACACCTCAGAGAAATTCAAAGTGTTTACTTTTTGATTTATGGAGCTCTTACTCTGCCGTGTCCAGTTTTCATGTTACTTTAAGCCTTTATTAAGAGTGTGACGCTGATTGACAGCCTGTTGGTGAAATGGGAGGGGCTTAAGAGTGTATCTCCATGTCACGAGTTCAGAGACGCTGGCTTCAAAAAATACAACAAAAATGATATTTTAGCTTCAGTTTTAGGAAAACCAGACCACAATGAGATGTTTTTGCCTCTCTGCTGAAACTGTTTCATTTAGTCTCAAACCTGCAGCAGCCTTTAGTTTGTGCCTTCGTTGCAGAAAACGGTTTAATAGTTTGAATGATGTCATTGTTGCAGAAAACGGTTTAATAGTTTGAATGATGTCATCGTTGGTTGAAAATGGTTTAACAGTTTGAATGATGTCATCGTTGTAGAAAACGGTTTAATAGTTTGAATGATGTCATCGTTGGTTGAAAATGGTTTAACAGTTTGAATGATGTCATCGTTGCAGAAAACGGTTTAACAGTTTGAATGATGTCATTGTTGCAGAAAACGGTTTAACAGTTTGAATGATGTCATTGTTGCAGAAAACGGTTTAACAGTTTGAATGATGTCATTGTTGCAGAAAACTGTTTAATAGTTTGAATGATGTCATCGTTGGTTGAAAACGGTTTGATAGTTTGAATGATGTCATCGTTACAGAAAACGGTTTAATAGTTTGAATGATGTCATCGTTGGTTGACCCTGCTTCATCGTAAACCTTTCCTTCGTTGTTTGTTTCAGTTGTTTTTTGAAGACAACATCGATGATGCAAAGTACTGTGGCAGACTCTACGGCCTGGGCTCGGGCTCCAGCCAACCCCAGAACGGCCTGTCCAGTTCGGGACCAGAGGAGACCAACAACAAGCACTGACCCCGTCGGCCCGGCCCGGCTCGGCTCGTTTTTAAACCTAACGGGTTCCCGCTCCCTCGTCACCGAATCCCTCCGAGCCCGGCAGCTCTCCGGTGGACTCGTGGAGGAGAGCGGACCCCGGCAGCGGTTCGACCCGTCTCTTTTTTTAAAATCCAATTTTAAGACCAGACAGTTGGACTAGTTTTGTTTTTTTATGAAATTTTGCTTTTCCAGCATCAGTTCCAGGAAGCGAGCAGCTCCTGCATCTTACTGTGATTTTAGACTCTTCAGTTCAGACTCTCCTCCTCRGTTTCTTTTTGTTTCTGCAGAGATTTAATTTGTGTTGATGCTGGAAGGGCGTGCACATTAAAGTGTAAACTTCTGATGAAAATAAAACTGTTTTAACTCATTCCACACCGCAGGGAGCTCAGGCTGAGCCGCTTCGTCGCGCATGTTCTCACCACACTCCGCGGCCCGTTTCACATGTTCTGCTTCCTGTTTTTACTTCCTGCTTTGTTTTCAACACTTGGACATTAAATTGTTTTGTATTTTCAATGGATTTAGTTTTTTTTATTTATTTATTTAATCCACAAACTCTTAAAAAACATGATTTTATTTCAGGTCAGCTTAACGTTTTAACCCTGGAAGATTTATTTTAAATATCATGACGCTATCTATCATCCTTTAAGGTTCTGGTGTTCTGACCCGACCCGTCGGCTCAGTTAAACCTCAGTCCGGTTCAGTTTGTTTATTCAGTCTGAGAGGAACGGCCGCGAGGCCTTCCTGATCCGAGGACCGGTTCCATGTTTCAGGAGCAGATCCTTGGCCCGCTGCTGGAGGACGTCGGAGACGGAGGACGCTCTGCTGATGTGCAGGAGGACGAGGCAGCACTCCAACACATCTGGCTGAGGAAACATCTGGAAGATAAAGAGGTGTGGACCGGTTCAGACCCGGAACTTTAACTCAAACGTAACGAAGCAGCTGAGTTCAGCTCAGCGTCTAATGATATAAACTTTAAGCTGCTGTTTAGCCTGCTCAGCTTAGCCTGATAACTTTAGCACAGACATATATATTAGCTTGGCGCTAGTGCGACAAACAAGCTAAACTGAGGTCCTCCATCTATATTTTCAGTTACAGGCTGAGTCATTTTTGTGTTCCCCTCTCTGTCAGGTGGATGGAGGACCTCAGTGACGAGAGGAGAATGTGTAGCGCTGAGCTAATACATATATATGGTGATAGCGTTGGTGCTAAAGCTAACAGGCTAATCTGAGGTTGTTCCTCCATGAAGCAGCTCTGTTGTCCTCCATCCATATTTTCAGTTCCAGGCTGAGTCATTTCTACCTTCTCCTCTCTGTCAACGCTCTCTGGTTTCATTTAAAAGAGTCGATCATCAGATATTGTCCAAGATTAACCTTCAGGGTGGATATAGCTCGCTAGCAGCCTCGCACCGAGGACCTATCCACGTCATCATTTACCCAGAATGCTTTGTGTGTTAATATATTTTTAAAAATTTACAAAACTGAACATCCTACAGTATTTTTACAGTCTTTATTTTACAGTTAAAATAAATGTTTATTAAATAAAGTCTAAAGTTACAACTAATCATGGATCCCTTTAAATAATTCTGTTAGCTCTTCACTCCTGTCAGATCTACAACAGGTAGGATAGTTACTACGTTCACAGAGAATGTTGATGAATGTTTTACCTTGACGGAGTCCGGCAGCTCAGCCAGTTCTGCTTGGTGTTTGGACATCTTGGAGGACAAAGACAGAAAAGTCTCCWGGTTCTCAGAGCTGAAAGAAACAACCGTCAGCATCAGGAGGATGTTTCATCAACCGTGAGCTGAAACTCATCAGGTTCAGTGTTTTCAGAGTAAAACTAAATGTTGGAGAAACGAGTGAARGACTGGAGCCTCACCGGTTCTGATCATCTGATGATGCTTGTTGTGGACGCTGGTCCTCAGAGTCCTGCTGTCCTCCCTGGGCCCGGCTGTGCTGCTGGACCATGGCGGTCAGCCTCTCCTGGACCTCTCTGACTGATCTCTGCGCCGCCTGGCAGACGGCGTGCGGCTCAGACAAAAGGACGGACACATCACCATCCTCAGATCCTGATGGTCCTGGTGTCGAATCGTCCCTCAGCTCGTCTCGGCTCCACCAGCGTTCGTACAGACGGTGGTAGCAGACGAACGCCTGCAGGCTGCTGGCCGTGGCCTCGGCTGCTCCTCCTGTGAGGTGGAGCGTTTTGGACCGTTTCCTGGAGAAGACACCCACGTCCCCTGAGAGACAGAGCGCCTCGTTAGTTGTTTGTTTAATGAACGCAGAAATCTGATGTTTGAAACACGTTCTTTTCAACAAAACTGCCTGACGCTTCACTTCCTGTTCAATCCTACAAAAATAAAAGCCCAACAGAACGGCGTACCGTCAGGGAACAGCAGCCTGCAGAACTCTGCAGACGCACAGAAGTGTCCCGTGTCTCTGAGCCAGGCCGCCGCCTGCCACAGCTCTGAGACCACCTGTCCAGCYTGGTCCAGGAAGCAGCTGAGCAGAGCCCGGGTCAGGTGGACCGAGCAGTACAGCAGGACCTGAGGACAGACACAAAACCTCCACTGAAGATGTCTAAGGGGACAGGTTATGGCAGGGGTGGGCAATCCTGGTTCTGGAGGGCCYCAGCCCTACATGTTTTACATGTTTCCTGCTCCAACACACCTGATTCAGTCACTGAAATACCTCTTCATGTTCTGCAGTATGGAGGACCAACACTGACATCATTAGAAATAAAAGCTGAAATAGATAAATGAACATTTAAATAAATAAATACAATTAAAATTCCCAAATAAATTAAAAATATATTTACCTCGTGTTTTATATTTTAATT